GTGTAATAAAACACCCCATGTGTATCAAAAGCAGTGAGTTGATATACAAAATAAACCTGGTAATGATTGTATTGTTGTCAGTAAAAGGAACAGCCCAAGGTCAAATGGTGAAACAGAGACATCAAAATCAAGCAAGTACAAAAATTTAAATATCTCAGAAGTGTCAGAAAATGCAACACCAAAATCTGAAGATACATTGGAATAGGAAAAGATGCCTTTCAAAAGTTATGCATAAGAAACAGGAAAATAGCATTAGAAACAAAGAAATGAGTACTGAACTGTTATATAATATCAATCCTTCCATATGGTAGTGAATGTTGGACAATCTCCTCACAGATGAAGAAGAGACTTGAGGCAACAGAAATGTTGTTCTACAGAAGGATGCTGAGAATACCAAGGATTGAACAAGAGAGCAATGACAAAGTTTTAGGGAAAATGGAAATAAAAAGGACATTTACACTTTGAATCAGAAAGAGGCAGTTGAAGTTTCTTGGGCACATAATGAGGAAAGAGGGCTTGGATAATTTAATACACACAGGACATGCTGAAAGCAAGAGGGACAGAAGAAAGCAGTGCATAACATACCTAACAAGTTTGTGTAAATGGTTGGCAGAACAGGAATTAGGAGAGATAACAAAAAGACAAATCTTACTAAAAGTTACAAAGGACAGGATATTGTGGAGAGTCATGATCGCTCATGTCCTGAAGGGACAGGGCACATAGAAGAAGAATCATTATTGTACACCATTTGTCCTGTCAATATTTAATCAGTCATATAATGAATGCAAAAAAATAAATAAATAAAATAAAGTTGAATTATATTGTATCAACTCCATTCATACACAACTGGATTTTTAATTATTAATCTGACATGTATTTTTATTACTATAATATTATTTTTATTGGGTACCTATATTTTTAGAAGACTGTTTATTTTTTTAAGCAATATTTTATTTCCTCTACTAGCCTGAACATTCAAAAACCTTATTAGAGAAAAAAAACCTTATTAGAGAAAAAAGTCCTCCATTTTTTCTCTAATAAAATTTCTCAAATGTTCATGCCATTAGACAAAATGGCATTAAAGTACTGTTTAAAAAATAAATGGAGCATCTACACAAATATGAGTATCCACTAAAAATAATGTATAATATTACATATAATGCTTCATTGAATAATAATAAACTATATTGTATCTATTTATTTTTATACTGACCCTTTCCAGTTCTCTAATCAGTTTTTTGATGTTAAGGTGAAATTCATCAAGGAAGGCACCGTAGTTTTTTTCTAATCCAAGTAATTTTGATATTTTCCAAGATCATATTCAAGGGTTAAATTACAAAAACAAACTTATTGTAACTGCGATAAAATCAGCATTCTGTTGTGATGGTGATTTTTAAAAACATATGCGAATGCACTCTGAAATTATGTTGAGATTTTAAGTCTATCCATTGTAGCTATAGAATTTTTGCAAAACAAGCAGTTCAATATAAAGGATTTAATGCCATTTTGCATTTCTACCAATTTCAAGTCAGCTCTCTTTGTCTTTGTAATTTAACCCTGAAGATGATCTTAGAAAAGATAGAAAATGATTGGGTTAGAAAAAATTATGGTGCCTTCTTTGATGAATTTCATCTTAACATCATGAAACTGATTAGAGAGGTGGAAAGGATCAGTATAAAAAAATAGACACAATATGTCTATATTATTCAATGAAACATGTTTGAATAAAGATATACTGTTTAGATATACATATATACAGGAATCCCTAAATTAGTATGACTAATGTGTACATTAAAACTAATTTAAAACACATTAATCGAATATAAACAAAACAAACAAAATAGTTACCCATTTTTCATTTTTAAATTTTAGAATATTTTTAATTAATCAGTAACTATAAAAAAAATATCAATTTTCAGTTACTGTGGTTAAATGGGAGAATTTCTTTCTGCAATAATCAATTATTATGCATGCACTAACTGAATTTTGGTATATAAAATTTTAGCACACTAATCAAAAACGCATTAATTGAATTCACATTAATTAAAGAATTCTCGTATGATGCCAAATTGGTCAGGTTTCAATCCTGGCTTGAAGCAATCGGATGTCTATCCACACTGAAGAGCTGTGATACAGTGAAACAATCTGTCTGTGAATGACTATACATATATATATATATATATATGTATATATATATATATATATTTTGTTGTATGATACCTATGGATGATAATGGGTATGTCCCCATTCACATAAATACAGTAGTAAATACGGAGAAAGATATTATAACATCTAAACTTTCCAAAGTCAAATCTACATTAGAAATATCAAAAATAATTGGAAGATATCACCAAACTGTGAAAAGATTTGTTGCAGCTCTTACGGAGGTATATAAGAAGGCCAATAAGGGTCACACGAGGGTTATGAAACGAGAAGCTGTAAATAACCCAGGCCTGACCAGTGGAGCACTTTTCAGGAGCATTGGAGAAGTAACAGTATCCAGAAGAACTCACAGAAATCTTTTGAAAAAAGGCCGGGACATCAGTGAGACCAGTGATAAAGCCTCAATTGACAAAAGTACAAATACAAATGCATTTGAAATGGACAAAGGAGAACATGAAGGTCAATTTCTCGAAAGTTCTGTTCACAGATGAAAGTGATCGTCTGTCTTTTCAACTCATATGTGGAATGAAGTTCATTCCACACCAGGGTTTAAAAGACAGACAACCACTTTAATCGTCTGCTGAAATAGTCTATTCCTTACATGAGGTAAAAAGATTTTTTTGATTATTCATATAAAAGTTATTTTTAGTGGATACCAATATTTCAGCAAATGCTCAGTTTAATTATTAAATATATATTCATTTATTGATTGATGATGCCTTTCAGGGTTGAGACAATCTGAAACACATTCGATCTAATGGCATTTTCTCCTGCCGAAGGGAATGCAGGTTCAAATCATGGTAGAGAGCTCATATTTTTCTTTAATAAAATTTTCTCAAATATTCAGGCTGGTAGATGAAAATAAATAAATACACTGATTAATAAATACACAGAGCATCTACTCAAATATGGGTATCCACTAAAAAATGACATTGAAGGAATCTTTCAGATTAAAAAATAAAATCCATTACTTCTTTAGAAATTGCTTTGTTCATGTTAGGATATGAAACTGTTTCAAAAGTCTGAGAAACATTTGCATTTATAAGGCACTCTTCAACTTTGCTTGATTGATGATGCACTCTATGGCCAAGTCAGTCAAAAAATGCCAGATCTAACAACAGTTTCTCCTGCCTAGCTGGGATGCAGGCTTGAATTTTGCTGGAGTGCGTATATTCTTTCTTTATTTTCCTTTTGTCAAATATTCAGGCCACTAAACAGAAATAAATAAATATACTGTTTAATAAATAAACAGATCGTCTACTCAAATATGGATATCCTCGAAAAATGGCATTCAAGTAATAAAAATCCATCACCTCTCTCTCTCTCTCTCTCTCTCTCTCTCTCTCTATATATATATATATATATATATATATATATATATATTGCAGTTTCATAACTGGATTCTGCATGTCTTGTTGTTCCACATGTGTCACAGAGGAAGGTCATGAAATCAAGTGTGTGGGTCACTTCCTGGCAAGTTGAGGTCCACCTTAAACAAATTCACGCCATTGGCACTTTCTTCTACTCTTGATTTTCTTTCACCTCCAACCAAATATTGCAAAGTCAAACAACAATAAGACATGGATGACAGGAGAAGGTTTTGGTGAAACTGAAATCTTCTAGTCCTGAACCTGAATGTTTGCGGTGAATTTAGTCATTAACACCAACATCATAAAGGAAGCAATCAGCAAAGAAGAAATTAAATTCTTGGATATGAGATAAAGCTGTCACCGCCAATATATATATATATATATATATATATATATATATGTATGTATGTATATAGAAGGTGAGAGAGTAAATGATAATTTCTTTGCATCATAATTTTCTCTCAAAATTCTGCCCAATTGGTTTTAGAATTGTCTAGTAACTTTTAAACATGCAATCTGAGTGTATTTAAAGCATATTCTATTTCAATATTAGTTTACTTGTAATGTTCAAAAATGGTGAAAATATCTTAACCTTTTGATATTTACTAAGTACAATGCATCTGCAAAACAACTTATCTTTTTATTTCAGCACTAAATTATAATTAAATAATTGTGTTTTATTTGTCAAGTTTTAGCATTATGCTGGAATAGGCTTTGTACTCAAAGAGCAATGAAGCCAGTGGCACTATGGAGTTGACCTGGGGCTACTCCCAGCCACTGAATGCAGAAGTACATGGTCCCAAACCTGCGTCCAGTTTTGCAAGCATCGGAAAAGTTTGTGATACACACAGTAACCAAAATACCCACAAGTGTATTGCAGACAAACATTTAAGGACCACGTTTCAGATGAATGTGTGGGCCAATAGCAGCACAGACAGGTGCTGAGAGTAACTGACAGAGTCAGTCAGTTATGTGCCATGTGTGATACATGCTTAGGCGATCATGGATCTTTTGATACATGACTGACGAGGCAGTTTTTTTTTCTGCAGTAGGTTGCCATTTCTTTCTGTGGTAGACCATTTGCCATCCAAGACTATAGAACTTAGTCTGTCCTGCTATTTACCTATAGCTGGGGGGAGAAGAAGAGGATTCATACCTTTCCCAAGTGTAAGTGAATATAATGGATTCGACCGGAATTTGAACTCGGCTCTCTGATTTCACAATCTGAGCTGCTATCCACTACTCCACCGTGCCTCCAACTGACAGAGTACTGAACTGAGAGTTCTGGAGTGAATAAAATGTAATGTTAAATATGAAAGAACCAAGTCTTGTATCATCCACTAGTCTGCATGTGTTATCACTCAACTGGCACATACACTTCATTAAAATGTAACAAAGAATTCTATTTCTACTACATCACAGATGCATTCAATATACAGAGATGAATGAATTACCTACCATCAATTT